TTCCGCAGTCATCGTAGGTCACTCTAAATGCAAAGCGGTCCCATACAGCAGACCTATAAAGTGCTGCTGGCTCGTCTTCCAACTCCTGTTCTTTCCCACTCGCCATACCCACACAACTCTCCACAACCACTGATTTTTTTCCCTGCTACACCCGGCTAAGCTGCTTCGCTTCTTCTTCTTCTTCTTGTTTACTACTGGTGGTTGGCTTTGGTCGCAGTACCGCCACCTTCTGCTCTGGAGTGTAAACGCTTCACCTATGAGAAAAAGGAGCAGCGCATGAACCGAACGAAACACACGCGAATCGAACCGAGACAGTCGAACCGAACGGTTCGGACGGTTTTCATAAATCGTCCCATCCCTAATATATATATATATATATATATATATATATATATATATATATATATATATATATATGTGTATATGTATATATGTATATATACATATATATTAGGGCTGCAACTAACGATTATTTTAAAAATCGATGAATCGGCCGATTATTTTTTCGATTAATCGATGAATCGGACAAAAAATATTTTTTTATATTAACCTCTTTATTCCAAAATAAACATTTTAGACAGAACAAGCAAGCACACAAGTACAGGTTGCTCATTAACTGTACTGGTGCAATATGAAAAATAAATGTTTGTGTTAAAACTACGCAAACTTATATGAGAAATGTAGCTGTACCTCCACAAAATATAGGGTACTTTGTTTCATAAACCGCCAAAAAAAGACAGGCATTTTTGTTTTTTAAGCCCCTAAGGGGCTCAAACAATAGGCCCCCCCCATTTCAACAAATGAGGTTTTTTTTTTAGACTAGAAGAGTTCTGCATTTTAAGACAGGAAAGTATAGCAGTTAAAGTTGCTACTTGAGAAAATACTTAACCATAGAGATAAAAATAACCCTGTGATTCAAATTATAAATTGTATTTGGAATAAAAATGAGAGAACTAGGGGTGTTAAAAAAACACATCCTCCAAAGACAGATATTTACATGGGAATGTAGCATATAATTAATTGATATATTTCTGATCTTGCTGGATTTTATTCTGCTTTACTTCCATAAATTGCAGGATCTTCTTTACTTTATCTTTGCCAGAAGATTTAAACTTTAAAAGCCTTGCCCTCATAATTTGCAAGTTAATTTATTTATAAAGAAAATATAAACGCTGCTTAAGCTAATTCAAATGAAATTAAAAGTAAAATAAGTAGCCAACCTTGTCCCTGTCTGTAACCTACTAACACGGTAAGGAAAGCATCAGATGAGCTACCTGAGAAACTAACGTTACGTTTCCCCACTTTAAAATGAAACAAACATGGTCGCTCATCCTGCTGATCAGCTCTCTTCACTGCCATCGAAGGCTCCAACGTGTTTTCTTTTCAGGTGCTGCATCATAACAGTGGTGCTTCCGTGCCATGTTCATTTGTTTTTACAAAAGTTGCATGTTACGACTTTTTTCCCTTTACAAAGCGCAGGCTATTTTAATTATTGTGATCAATTTGCGCCATCAATCCCGGCGCATGCGCGCTTCATTTGAAGTCTGGACGCTGAGGGTAAACATCCTGCTGCTCTGACTGCAGCGCTGAGAGGGACTCCTGCGGGAGCGTGAGAACGGGGTTGGGATGGGGGAGGCGCCCCACGGCAGCAGCTGTCGATGGCGGCGGATGATGCATTAATCGCGCGACACAACTAATCGATGATGAATACACAGAGTGTATACAAAATGACATTTCATTTTGTATGGCTCTCATGGCATTTGCATTTCTTAAAGTGCAGCACTGGTCAAATGTAAACATTGTGGGAGAAAAAAACACATGGTGCAAAAAAATATAGGTTAAAGAATGAAGGTCGTGTTTGTAATGAAGATTTCATAAATTGTTTAGTTGGTACATGCTAGTATGCATGTAGCTAGTATGTAATATACATGCTTGAATACTTTAAGATGAACAAGCTGCACTTCAAGACACTATTTGATCATTTAACAGTTTCCTTTTTATCTGTTTCATTATTCGATTCAATTAATTAAAACAAAAAGTAAATGCCTAATGTGCATTTAAACAAATGCTTTACTACAGATTCTGATGTTGAAGTAAAGGTTAAAAAAAAATAACGTGGGGTCTTTAAACTCTTAAATCATCCTTTATGTCTGCCGTTACTCCCTCATGCTGCTATAATTCCTCTGCCGATGTTTCACCTGTGTGTGCCGCTGTCGTCTCCCATGCTCTAAGACCTGTGTGCCATCTGATGACTGATCTTTTTCTCTGACTCTGCTTTGCCTTTAAACTGAAATACATCTGTGGAAACTTCTGATTTGTGTCTGGGTTGTCAGCTGTGGATTTACCGTACATACTAGGATTATCCTTTCAGACCACTTTCAGAGATCTTTACCAATATTTCTCAATAACTTCTCATGTCAGACACATTTTTTTCAAAACATTTTTGTAACATTATATTAATTTTTAAGGAAATTATGTCACAGTTATAGATACCAAAAAATTACTTTTTTTATTATTATATTCATTCAAAGAACTGGAAATTCGAAAGTATTCTAATGTTCATCACAGGGGGTATTAATTCTTCTTCTTTTTAATGTATGAAAACTAACATAAAACCATCTTTCATAATAATTCATAGTTAAAACACAGTTAATAATTGTTTGAAATCTAAACTTGTCAATCATTTTATTTGATAAGACTAACAACTCCAGAAAACAAAAAAAGAAAATAAAAAATATTTTTTACATTTTATCATTTGATAAATAGCAATACGAAGTATAAACCTAAATTAATCCCATACAAAAAAAAAATCTAAAGAAATGCCAGCATTAAGTTTACCTATTCAGAACTGTTGTAAACCAAAAAATAGTCGGTTGGATGTGAGGCCCCTACATCCTTCCTGTTTTAAGCATGGCGCAAACCAAAGGTAGTTAAACTGGGAGGGACTGGCCAAGAAGCCACAATACTAAATTACATTATATTTTTTTGTCAACAACGAATAACTAACTTGTTAAATGGCCGGTTTCACCAAAGGTTAAAGAGACTTACTTTAAAATCTCGCACAGTATTTACCCAGTGGCAGAATTTTTGCACAAAAGATTTTAATTTGATTTAACATGCTGTGCCTGTTGAGAATGTCTGGATGAATCCCTTAATCATCTTTTTTTTTTCCTGTCCCTTAAAATGTAGGACATCCTAGAAATAACAATCACCCACGTCTTGCATTATGTTGATGACCTTGATAGTAAAATTTCAGATACGGTTCATATTGTTTTCTTGCTTGTCAAATATCATATACATTGCTGTAAATGGGGAGGTTCTACTCCTTGTTTTGAATTTTTTCTTAACCAACTTAAATTGTATTGCGCCTCATTGAAACTTTTGAAATCTGTTTCTGCCAAAAAACTGCCAGAATTTCTACTTTTCCTTGGTTTTAAATTTTGCTCTATATTTATTCATTAGCCTTATTGTTTATGTATCTGTTCTTGTTTTTAGCCCCATGTTCTGTCAATTTTCTTTCTCTACCCATGTTGTAATGTTTGTACCTTAACGAGACTTTGTACAGTACTGGTTTATTATATAAAGTAAATATGTATGTATAATATTGTCATTTTTAATGCTTATATTTTCAACAAAAAAAATAGTACACGTTATAATCCGACATTAATAACTTTTTTGCCACATTCAAGCACTTTGTAGTAAATTTATGTGATATTGTGCTGCGCAGTTTCTGGTGCGTTATGTTTGTTTTCTACGGGGAAAAAGTGCGCTATCTCTTTAAATACAGGAAGTCGTCACACGGTCCCAGTGTTGGGGTTACAGAATAAAGTGTAACACCGGGCCCTGCGCCCTCGCAACTCAAGCGTGTGTAAACAATGAAACTTAGCTAGCTAATCAAGCTAGCACCCTGGAGAACAACAACGACCCACACGAAGTTGTAACGCATCCAGTCTAGTTCAATTAACAACCGAAAGAGCCCGAAAGGCGCGAATTTATTTAGAACGGTGACAGTGAAAACAAATAACTCCGACATGTACACATGCTAATGAATGTTTAACTACAGGGCGAACGCGTGTCTGCACACTCCGTTGTTAAAACAAGTAAACTAGCACGCAATTAAACGCCTCACCTCTTTCTCTCCATGGTCCCGGTTGTATCGCTGCGCTGGCTGGAGATTCTGCGATAATAAATAGAGGAAAAGTCTGCTATCTACCTGCTCTGAAATTACAGTATGTTAAGCAGTCGAGTCCTGCTGTCACAGGACCTTTTGACGCTCTAAGATCACTCCGCCGGGCGCGCAACATAATATAATCTACTGTAATGCATGCGCCACAACATTGTAAACTAGTCCGAAATGATCCCCTGAACTTTCTCTTGCAGCGTTAGAAAGCAAGAGAACCCTAAATCTACAGGATTTACTTTTTTATTTATTATATGCAAAGCATTTATACTGCATATGCAAATAAAGATTCATAGAATCTTGGACATTTTGCACCATTACTAAACCTACAAAATTAATACACAACTGTGGTTAAAGAACAATCTTGAATTCATACTGAAATCAGTTTTTTGTTTGGAAATCTATGTTTTTTATTTTTCTAAATTTAGCTGAATTCATATCAGAACCAATACTTGTTTATTAACAATGTTATAGTCTTGTGTTTGATCTGTAATACGTATGAAGGTGGAAATAATTTCATAAGATCAAATATGGCCAAATTAAAGGTAGCAGGTTAAGCAGCTTTAGAAATGTAGAGGAACAATCATCTTCAACAAACTAATCAGCTGATCCCTATCTCGTGGTCTTTTAAAACAAGAATGAAAGACCTTTTATTTATAATTGCACATTCCAACAAATTAAATATCTGATTAAGTAAACAGTCCTTATTGTGAGCAAATTCCTCAAGGAATTTAATTTAGGATGTAAAAAATACGTCAACCCGGTTTTATAGGTATTCGTAGTTTTACAGTTGCTCATAAAAAAGCACACAAACACAGCATAAAATACATAGTTTACTTCTCTTTGAAGCAGAGACAAAAATCAAATTTGATCCAAATGACGAGTAGGACTTCAAAAATAAAAAAAATAAATCCCCGGACTGAACAGGAAGAGAGGAAGTAGCAAAGTTGTCACCATTATTTATCTTTTTCATCCATTTTTTTGTTTACACTGGCAGAAGACAATGAAAACATCAAATGCTAAAGGATTTCATTGAAAGTTGATGAAAACAGTTCAGTGTTGGCTGAGGTGATGATAATGACGGGCTCTCCAGCAGTAGGACCACAGTCAGGCTGCAGAGGTTCATGCTCACCATATTCGTCATAGCAAACAAGAAACGGCAACAACCTGAGGAGAGAAAACGACAAGCCGATACTTATCAGAAGTATTCCACAGTAGTTCAGTGTTATTCTGACATCTAAACAGAGCGATTGTCTCAGAATTTTGTTTAGTCTCAACTGTGCTGCCAAAGCCAAACATGTCACTGTCCAGGAATTGAGAAGTTCTGTTTTTCTAAACACTAAAATCTTTATCATCAGCAAATTCCTCACCTTCTGTCCTGGGAATCCAACCTCCATAACAAAGCTAATCACAAACAGTATTTTTCCAAAATATTTAAGCTTCTATTATAAGTCTTACTAGGCTTATTTTGATGTTTGCATATTATTTATATTGGAGGATTTAAAATCTTAAGCAAGTTTTATTTTAGGGGGTTACTAAATAAAGTTTATACATAGCAAACAAAGTTGATTTGATGGATCCCAACAGAGCAGATAGCACTTTATTATACACTCTGCTCAGAAAACCCAAGCAAGAATTGTCATATCAGAAACTACTTTACTTGTAATTTAATTGTGGAATTTGAACAAAGATTCCTATACTTACACCAAGGTTTTACAACTTTAGACATTTTGAGTTTTGAGCATTACAATAATAATGGGAACTCCAATCAACCCTCATTTATAGTACATGGCTATATACTATATATTGTACGTTTTATATTGTATATAGCTATAGATACTATATATATATTATATAGTTCATCTGCACCGCCAGTACTAAGTCAAATTGCTTGTAAAAGCAGACCTGCTTGGCATTTAATCTGCTTCTGATTTCCATTCATCTCTTTTTCCCCCATCATAATAAAATGCAATCAACTCATTCTGAGTTTTAGCATCCTAGAAGGTGTTCACAATGCTGAAGAAATGGTTTATTTTTCACCACATATATTTGGTATGTGAACCAACCATTTTCTTGGTGCTTAAAACACACTGATTCTTTTTTTCCTTCCTTTATTTGTGCTCCCAAATCAAATATGCAATTTAAGTTTTTCAAAGCACCTTTAATAAATCAGCTTTTACATTACTCAACTCTAGTATAATAAAATGTACTTCCAGAAACACAACAGGCAGAGTTTAAATTAATGTCAAAACAACAACAAAAAAGAAAGTAACTCAGCACAAATTTGTGAGACTTTAAATAAAACCCTGTGAAGATAATCTGGGCTTAAAAAATAACAAATCAGACTTATTTTTTTCATGTCAGATATGGTATTCAGTTGGATAATACAGCATCAGAAACTATCTTTGTTTTTCTTAAAGGCAGAAAAGCTGCAGTCTTTTTAGACAGAGGAAATTATATTCAAGATAATCTGGTTTCTATTCTACTGACCTGACTGATCTACTCATCCTTCTTAAATTTGCCGCTGATGTAGGGAACATAATCCAAGATCAAACGCCAGTCTGTGAAGTAGACCAAGGCCACGCCTCCAGTTGTTCCCCATATGGCCAAAGTAGGAACCCTGAAAAGTAAAGAGCATTTGGTCTGAGATACTTAAGCAACTCAAACCCCTTCATTATTCTAGAGCACCACATATTGAGGTGAACCTTGCCTGCTACCTGAACTCCATATGTATACACAAGAGAATCTATCTCCAGTTTAAACCGTTTGAGAACAACACAAAATGGGTCAGCCAATCATGTTGCAGTATCATTATAGCAATTCATACAATAATTACAAAAGCTAAAAACCTCATTAATTCAATAAAGATGATTTTATGAGCCGTTTGGATTCAAAGTGATCAAATGTTGCAACAGAAAAAACACACCGACATTTTAATTTTAGAGACTTTTTTTGGTTTCTTTGTTTTACAAAAGAGAGAAAATATTTGCTCTACGTTAATTGCCAAAATGTCCCCAGACTACGGTATAGATCAAAATGCAGCTGTTCTCATCTTAACAGGTTGCGGGATGAGTTCTTAATCTATTAACAACTGTGGAGGTAACGTTAAAATACTTCAGTGCTGGGCAATATATCAAGATTTGAGATTTTTTTTCCAAACGTGATAAAAAGAATGAGTCTATACTTTTTATACCGAGATTGTTTATTTGAAATGCATTTACACTATTATGAATAATAATGATTTTGAGGAGGCTATGGAGAAAGACTATGGGTCTGCCTCAGAATGATTCTGGCTAACCGTACGCCGCCTCAGAGGGGAAAGCAGTGCTAAACACTATTTTCAGTAGGAGTGGGAAGCTGCGGTCCCTGAGATGGGTCTTTGTTGGACGGTGGATGGAACACTGGCTGACACACCTCCTGTGGTGAAGAGTTGGTGTGCTCGGGATGTGATTCGTTCATCACGCACGCTAAAGTCACCAAGGTTGTTAAAAAAAACTCCACATGGTAAGGCTTTGGGGGTGGATGTGATCCGGCCCACGTACCTCCAGATGTTTTCTAGCCGTCTTGGCTAAGACGCCTCTTCAAAATTGCCTAGAAGTGGGGGACACTGCCCCTAGATTGGCAGACCAAGATGGTGGTTCCTCTGCATAGGAAGGGGGACCAGAGGGTGTGTTCCAAGTACAGAGGGATTTTCTAGGGGGCATCCAGATTCCAGTCTCTGTACAAGCGGAGCAGGGGTTTGGTCCGCATTCCAGGCATTAAGTCGGACCTGATCCCGGTGCATGTTGCACTCCGACAGAGCTGCCTGCAGTCACCGCTCCTGGTCATATTGTTTATGGACAAGATTTCTAGGTGCAGCTAAGGGCTGGAGGGGGCCTACTTCAGGGACCAGCAAATCTCCTCCCTCCTTTTTGCGGGTGGCATGGTAATGCTGGCTCCCTCCTTCCAAGATCTACAGCATGCAATGGGGCAGTCTGCAGCCAAAGTGGCAATGAAGAACATCCCTTCCAAGTTTAGGTTGGAGGAGAATTCCTGCCTCAAGCGGAGCAGTTAGGAGAGAACAAAGCAGGAGGTCGATAGACGGATCGGTGTGGCTGCTGCATGCTGCTATAATGCAGAAGCTCCACCGGTCTGTTGTGGTGAAGAAAGAGCTGAGTTAAAAGGTTAAGCTCTCACTTTACCAGTCAGTGTATGTTCCTACCCTCACCTATGGTCGACAAATCTGGATCCTGACCAAAAGAACGAGATTCTGGATACAAGCAGATGAAATGAGCTTTCTCCACAGGGTGGCTTTATCTTCAAGAATGTTAAATTAACTCAAAAAGGTAATGTTCAATTTTATATTTTCAAAAATCTTTTTGGTTTAACTTTTTATATTTAATATCGGTTTAACCATCTTCAATATATTCCAAAACTATGCTGAAACTTTGCTACTACAATCCCCAGAAATTGTGACTTTGTTATTCACAATTTCTTATTTTGCCCTGACAGTTATTGAACAGTCAGGACAAAATAAAAAAATGACTGGGCCTTGTCTCTTCCAGTTTAGCTACTGTAATGATAAATATTTATATCATACGAATACTTTTCTTCAAGTCCATATATGTAAAAACAGTTTAGCGTAATGCTTTCATTCCTGTTTTTATGTCAAATGTATTTAAAACACTCAGCTGGCTAATAATTCACCTTCAACTACCACTAAACTACACAGGGGGCATTTATCAATACTTCGTAATTGATCTGGAAAAATCCGAAATAATTCTGAGTGCTGTTTATAAAACTACTGTTACAATTTCACAGGGGTTTGATCCAGGGTTTAGCTAAAAGGCTAAACTCACACCTCTGTCCCCACTGCTATGACCTCGGCTAGGCTAACTGCTAACTTCTGAAAGGACAACGACACGACTTAGCTCTCTAAATATTTCATTCATTCAATCTTTTACCAAAAACTCCAACATTAAGATACATACCACGACTTGGCGATAGATATATACTTCTGACCGACGATTTTGCCAATCATTTTCACTGACAGATGCCCTTCTACCTACAGGACTCGCTGCTTTAAAAAGAACTTCCGGCTCCTCACAACTCAATTACTTCCGCTTCTTTTCAAAATAAAAGCGGTGAAAAGACAGACTAGTAATATTAAAGAATAATCATTCAATTGATCATTTATACCCAATTTAATGTGCAAAAAAGGTAGGTGGAATTCAATTTCTTTTACAATATTATTTTGAGATAAATGAAGTACCACTTAAACTGTCTGGTTTTCATTAACAGGTTCTTTTTTTTTTTTTTTTTTTTTATTCTTGGAAACTCATTTTTTACCATAATTTTACTCCCCACTATCTGGAAGAATAGGTTCTGAGTAGTAGGAAATCTATATTTATTGACAACTGGAATAAAAAAAGGAATCTGGGCTGTTATGTTTTCAAAAATTTTGTGAAAAATATTGAATCTATTGTAGCCAGAGTAAATATATGCAGATCTTAAAAGCATCCCCTTGACCTCTTCAGGCTATGGTGGGACAAGATGTATCATTTTCTGACATTTCTCCAAAATTTAGAATATTTTTTATAGATGATGTCATTTTATCAGCACACGATGTAACAATAGGATGATATATATATATCCTGAAAGATTTTTGTACAAATAAAAAAAAAATAAAATACCTCAAATGCAAGAAATTGAATTTTAAATTATCAACCGATTTTACCCTGTTAATTTCTAAGCTGAATTTTGCCGCTGGAAACTGATTTTTTTGAGGTTGAAAGTGAAAGTCTTGAACACCTTTTCCTAGATTGCTGTTGTTCAAAGCCTTTGGCTTGATTTTCTGATGTGGATCCACGCTAAAGGGATTCAGTTTCCTGACCTTACCCTAAGAGCAGTATTATAACCAAAATTGGAGATAATGAATCTGTTGTTAGTATTTTAATTTTATTATCTAAATTGTATTTACACAAATACCATCTTTTAAAATATAAAGTATTTATATCCCAATGAAAAAAATGAAATGAATCTTAGGCAAAGTCTTTAAAATTTGAGAGGGCAATCTTTCTTCGAGTAAATTCAATCTTCTTGATTCTTAAACTACCGTAAGCCTAATATTATTATGCCCCTGTATTAGTATTGTTCCTTCTTGTTTTTCTTTAATTATTGTATATTAAGATGTTTTATACACATTTGTAAGAGATTTTATCTAGTTCTGTAATGGTACCATTCAAATTTGTTTTCAAGTAAAAAAAAAAAAAAAAAAGTTATATATATATATATATATATATGCACACTATTGTTCTACTTTATCACCTCCATCATATTGTGAGTGGCACGATGTCCTATGAAACAACATAATTTTTTGATAATTTACTATTAGCAAAGAAATAATTATTGCTAATATAGAAATGAACATTATCTCGACCTTCAGATTTATATCCAATTCTTTTAAGTCTTGGTCTCTCCCCATATCCCACTGCTCGTTTCGCTTGTTGTGACAGAGTAGGTTCCAGTGATGCATGTTCAGGGTTTCAAAATAGTTGTCCATATTCCCATCTGGTCCCTTTATAAAGTATTTACCAGGATAAAACGGGGTCTCTCTGTAAAACTCTTTTAGTCCAAACATAAAGATAATACTTTGTAACAGAACACAAACAATCCTAGACAGGATTGCTGTCCGTTTTCCTGATTCTGCCTTGACTTTTAAAAATAAGCAGTGATATCCACTTTTTTATTCATCCCTGTAATACTTTCCTAACAGTTATTTAATGAGGTTTTTATTGTGGGATAGAATAATGCTGAGAGACCTTTTCCTCTTTTCTTGTGACCCAAATCTTGGTACAATTAGATCCCTTATAGCCTCACTGCAGAATCTTAGAAACACACATAATCCACCTGGAAACACTTCATTTCAGCTTTATCAGATTTGGATACAAATTTAACATTATAACTGGTGATTTATTTTATTTTTTTTTACTATACACAGTCTTAGTAACACAAAAATCCAACTATGACAGGACTGTTTGCTTTGCCAGTTTCTTGTTTATAGAGACACTGACACATTTAACACACCAACAGACTAGTTTTTAAGAATTAAATATTTACGTAAACAAAACAATTATAAGATAAAATCTTAACATAAATCAAATTAATACGGTCATTAATGATAAAAATTAAACTTTTTAATATTAAGGTTTAAATAACGACAGGAAGAACAAATATTAAAAATGGCACATTTATTGCTACATCACTGTTATATACACAACAGATCTCAATATCTACTTTATATATAAAAAAATAGGAAACTGGAGGCACTTTGAGGACATAGCCTACATAGATAATGTCCCCAAATATGAGAAGACAGAAATCTGTAGCAGGATATCGTTCGCTGAGGACAGACAGGGTCTGTTATACATATCAATTGTACATTTTTTAGACAAGATTACTGCAGAAATATCCACTAACAAAAAAACAAAATCTCTAAAAGTGGTTTTCCAAATTAAACAAAGTCTGTTTGTTTTTTTCCTTGGGAAATGTCTGAATCATTGAGGCTTGTCCACTGGGCAGGATAAGAGACATTATGACAAATACTGATCCCTATCACCATCAGCTTCATGCGACAAAGCTGACAAAGATATCTTACAACTGTACATATGTATTAATTCATGTGCCAGTTCTAAGGGGAAAATCCTAACCAAACAATGTAAAAGAGGAGTTATTTAATGTGTAAATCCGGTTACTTGTTAAGTAACATTTCATGACATGTATTGGATACATCATCAAGCATAATTCATGTGGCAGATGATAATGAAGTGTAGATACATTCTACTGCAAGAAGACACAAGTGATAAAACTCTGAAATAACGTCCTCCACTGGGAAATATTCAGGCACTGGTGGAGTAACCATTATCTAAGCTCCCAAAGTTGGGAAAATGACAAAGGCCACATTTTTCACTCTATATTAATTTTGTTTTTAATCAGAATTAAACAAAATTTGGTTTGTAACCGCCTAGGGAGGTATACAAAGGAAAGAAATAATTTGTTTAAATATAAAAAAAACAAAAACAAAAGGAATTTACACCTGTATCATTACATTTGGTGTGTTAAAACCTAAAAGAAAATAGACCAATATCACAACATGTGACGTTATGGCGGAATAATTTGTCATTGCTAACATTTCCAAGCCCCTGGCACCAAAGAAAACACCTCACTTTGTTTGTGGAATCTAAACTTTGTCGTCTTACATTAAAACAACGTAAACAAAGAGGAAAGCGCATTCCAAACAATACAAACAAAACAACTATGTTACAAGGTAAAAAATGAAATACAAAAACAAAGACATAATATGAATTCTACAACAGGAAGATCCTTATAACAGGCCTCACAATTGTTCAATAAGGGGAGTCAATAAGGACGCTCAACACAGAGCAACCAAAACAAGTCAGTCAATGGCTAAAGAGGAAACTATCTTAAAGGTAGCAGTAACACTCATGATCCCTTTCAATACTTAGTAAATTGTCTACAAGCAAAATGCTATTCATCCCAAGGCAAACTGCTGTTAGACTTAAAATGATTCACCATGTTGTAACAGCAGACTCATGTGGAATATGATGTGTGCAGGATCATGTGTGTGTCGAAGAATGCTTGGGTCTGACAGCTTTCCCCAGAACTGGGCCGAACGGGCTGTTAGTTTGGTTTAAATCAGACCTAAATCAACCTCCCTGTGCGAGTCGTGTGTTTGCCTCTCTTGGCAGCCTTTCTGTTCCAGTTGCATGGCAGTGACAATAAAACTTGTACGTGAATTAAAGAGCTAGAGGGGAGTTCACAGTTCTGAACCGAGAACACAAAAGTAACCCAGTCAGTGACAGTCAGCCACTGAAATAAAATCAAGAAAAACTCGGGGAAAAAAACTGCCAATTTCTTCTGATTCACAGGGTAAAGTGCCTTACAAAAAGATTTACACACCTCTGAACTGCTCTCCATTCTGTCACTTTTAACCCCAAATTTCAGTGTGTTTATCTGGATTTTATTTTGACAGTCATGTAAAGTAGTACATACGACTCTAAGAGACTGGCGTTGATTTTCAAAGAATTAGATGAGCAAAGCTGGTAGAGACATTCCCTCCAACATTCAGCTGTAAATAAAGAAAAATGTAATTTAAGAACCAATTTAATTAGTTAGAGCTTTGATTTTTTTTTTTTGTTGTTGTTGTTGGAAGCACTTTAAAAATCTAACACTTCTTGGTTTGGGGAGTATAACATAAAATCTTCAAAACAAAACACACTGATCTTTGTGGTTGCAATGCTTTAGCGAGGCACAACATCTCCATCTTCTGCAGCCCAGCCATGGGGAGGAGTCAAAACAAACACCACACATAGGGCATGATTAAGGCATGGTTAAACTATTTTCTTCTTCAATCTTCAGATACAAATCATCCTTCTCAGCTTGTAAAGAATGTAAGACCTCTTTTTTTCTGATGGGAATGCCAATAAATACTTAACAAGAAAAATCCCAACTTCACTCAGAAGAGCAATTGATCCAAAAGTGTTATTTGATCCAAACAGGTTTTGCTCCCAATGTATAAAGCAATTTTTTTTTACAATGTTCTACAAATACACGATCATAAGAGCATTCTTTTAGTCCATTATTCACTGTCTCCGAAAGCAGTGTGTACAGTCCCAAGAACTTTCACGTAAAGGTCGACTAAGGTTTTTATTCTTTTACTTTCTCCTGTGAGCTTCTTTGTTCTCACGGTCAGGAATGTGGCCGCCTGTTTTGTCAGTAATGAGGTGTTTGCGTGATTATCACGCACTGAGATGCACAACAACGGTCGATAAGGCCACATGTTCATAGGGCTGGACAACAGGAACTGGAAGAGAAAAAAAAAATTATTTATATTCAAGTGAAAATCACCATTATTAAAATAAAAATATAGGTAATAATTTACACTCTCCCGCAGTGTAATTCAGACTATTTTTTTCTTCTATTTTCTTTTGTGAAGCCTGAATGTTTGACTCAAGTTTAACAATAAAAATGTTCCATAATTTATGATAACACAACACTGAAGTTAGCTTTTAAGCTGATGATGCAGCAAAGTCTAAATCTGCCTTTTTTTTAAAATCTAAACCCACTAAAAATAAAGACGTCTGTTGGACATGTAGATCCTACCTATATTGAGATGGTCGGTTGATGACCTATTATAGATGCCTACACATTGTATATAAGGTCAATATCTGAATGCCATTTTTAGGACATCATTAAGCCGTCCAGTGCAGGTGCAGAAAATTTGTTTTACTTTCTTAACATACCCAGTGCTGAAAAGCATGTCTATATGGTGCCTTTTCAATGTCACCTTAACATATCTGATGTTTGTAAAGAATAAAACAGTAGATGACAAATTTTTATCAAAGGACTACAGCATGTCTAATTAAGAACTTCTACAGGACCTCTATATTTGGCACAAATATTGCTGCTGCAAACATCTTAAAAATTTATATATTTCATAATTAAACTAAACATATTTGTTTTTAAGCATTTGTGTCCTTTCAGCTGCTCCCATGTTCAGAGGTCATCACAGCAAGTTTTCACTACCTGCTCACAGAATCAAACCCAGCATTACAGGCAAAGATTTAAACCACTTCTCCACGGGGACCTAATTCACTCACCAGGGATGTTACATGCAAATGACTCTTTTAGTTGTCATTTTCATATTTAAATTAATTCAAATACACTACACAAAACACTAGTAAGTATACTAACTACAGTATATTAATGAAACATTACTATCATTATAATTTAGCAACTAAAACTGAGTAATGATATCTATAAAAAAGAAAGAAATGTTTCCATTTAATGATGTTACATTATCACATGCATTAGCTGGGGGTATGTACCTGATGTAAGATGTGATCATGACCCAACCAATCAGAGACACTCTTGCTGAGCAGCATGGCTTCATTCAAATGCCAACTGCTTCCATTCTGTGTTCATTCCTCCCGGGGCTCAGCAGGCTGCATTGAGCAGACTGCTGTCCACTTAAACTTTCAGCTAAGTTAAATTCTGCTTTTTCTATGTTTCTGAAGACATACCTGAGTATCACATATGGCTCACAGGGTTGTGCCCATCCCCTCCTATAGTGGGGTGACCCCCACCCAGCTGCATCTGGTGGTCGAGCGCTGAGACTTTCTCCTCCTCTCTCCTCTTGAGGCAGGCGGCTTTTGGGTTTAAATTACGCTCTTAAAAAAAGATAATCAGAAACAAATGTCCTTCAGACCATTTCTAGCCTAAAATACTAAAACAATAAAAGAGAATAAAAAAAAAAAACAGTGGAACAGGGAAAGCAAGACAGAAGGATAGTGTGTGTGTTAAGAAATGCAAGCATTTGGCAGAAAGCAGGGCTATACTTCCTTAATCTTTCTCCTCATCTCCTGTCTTCAGGTATTTTCCACAGAACCACAGAGGGAGCCAGAATGAACACAGAGCAGTCAGTGGAGACAGAGTTAAACGACCGACCTCCCAGTGTCCATCTTTAGTTAGAGAAATAAAGTAGTCTAAATGGATCAGACCTGCTTGCACCGGCTGACCTACCTCGCACCTGCTTCTCCAGGCTCAGGATGACCTGGACAGCCTGCTGCAGGATGACAAGCTTGGTCTGGGCCTTGTCGCTCTGCAGGTGGACCTGACACATCCTGCCCAGCTCTCTGAAGGCTTCGTTTATGTCGCGAACACGCACTCTCTCCCTAGCATTGTTAGCCAGGCGACGCTCGCGCTCCCTCTGCTCCTTCTCCTCTGCAGTCAGGTTCTCGTCGCTCAAAGAGACAAGGCTGCTGCACGGAGGAGAAGTGGGGGGGAGGTTGGAGGGTCTGGTTAAGAATCCCAAATCACAAACCTTCAGGGATATACCTAAACAATCTAAATGTATATTTTGAATAAAACTTTTCAGCCTCTTCTTTGTAGGCCAAATACTTTGCAAAGATGAGTGTAACTGTTAAATGAGATCTCAGTGGAGAAGGGGCTGTGTTATAGGAGAATGGACGAAGTGATAATAATAATTCATCTAAGAGGCATCTCCTTCCTGCATATTGGTATTCAATTTCAACCAATTTTAGGCAAATATAGAGTCAAGATGAAGTGGTTTCAAATATTCATATAGAGAGCATAAAGTTTGGTCATTAGGGTCCAGAATGGAAGTCGGGGGATATGGACACCGTCTCACAAAATGACAGGAGTTATGAGAAAGACAGGAAGCAACGCCCTCTGCCAAATGCCGTGCACAGAAAGAGGCACAGAGGTAGAGTTAACAGGAGAGGAAGGCCGATTGGCATCGATGTTAAATACATCAGCAAGCAATGCATTTATCTGAGAGGGAAAAAGGGGTTGTCCCTGTTGCCAGCTGCAAGAGCAAATGAGGGAAGGAAGAGCACCGACGTAAAGCATTAGAAAGCAGGGTAGCAAAAAGCATGAGAGGTTTAATGTTTGAAAGGCTGGAGCATGCAGAACAAAGAACACAAACATGAAGGGATGTTAATTCACAGCACACAGCTCTGAGTTGAGGCAAATAAGTCTAATTTGGAAAAAAACAGGGTTATTTTAATAGACATTTAATTAAAATCACCCAGTTGTTTAATGCAAGCACAACAAAAGCGGTTGTGAAAAAATATTCAATGAATGCATAACAAGCGTTAATTAAGTCCAGTGTTGAAAGACAGCAAGCTGTGAGCCAGGCAGCAGACACGTTAAGAGAAGTAACAGATCCGTTTGTGTTATGAGAAAATGGAAACCTTTCAGGGTGAACTGGAGAACGTCTTAAAACTGTGACACAGCTTTATTTTCTAACACTCTATTCTTGCTTATAGACCATTTTAGAACCAAATCAGGAACTATAAAGCAGGAAACCGTTTTAAAATCATTAGCCAACTTCAGTAAAAGGTTTGGTTAGGATTTAGAAGCCAGTTATGTAGCCTTGAAGCTGTGTGGGAGTTTTAATTTGGATAGAGGTCCTCCCCCTCTGCTTCCTTTCTCTCTGGACACCCACTGACCTCGAACTTGCTGCTCCAGGTTGAGTATAACTGTAACCGCCTGTTGCAGTATGATCAATTTGGTTTGGGGTTTCTCATAGCTGAGGTGGAGCTGACACATGCGGCCCAGCTCCTTAAAAGCCTCATTGATGTCCCGCACACGGAGCCGCTCGCGAGCGTTGTTTGCCAACCTCCGTGCTTTCTCCCGCTCAGCCTTTATCTCCACTGGTAGATCTTCTTCGTCTTCCTCATCATCCAGACTACTGATGAGTCCATAGCAGATAAGGAGGGAAGGAAACAATAATATGGGTATAGCTCATTTGGACAAGAGTCCCATTTGGCAATTAACATCTACAGTTGCAGTCTGGTGTTTAGATCCACTTATGATAGGGACAAATGTCATCACTTTGGACTTTTATTGGTTTTTTGAATCCGTTATCCGTTTTCTGTCCTCCTGAACTCCTATTGTGGGTGAAGTATTATATTTTTCAATGTTTCATTGAATGCTTTTGCATGAGTCTTTCCCGCTTGCTGTTTATGCTCTGTGTGTCTCCGAAACAGACTCTTTCCGCATGCAGTTTTATTTAGCATTTTCCCCCAAAGCGGATGTGTTTTACTTTGTAGCTGCGTCTCTCTTCCTGTCAGACCCACGAAATTGCAGCTGAATTAAACTAAACTTAAATAGACATGGGGTCTATCTCGGTCGGACATACACAAGCCCCAATGCACAAATTTGTGTCAGGTGTGATCAGCCCTATTGACTTTAAATGAGCGCTAAAAGCCATGACCTCGTCCGACACGATCTGTCGGATATGACGCAAAATCGGATTCATTGTTTTCTGCTCTTAAGACTTTACTTCTACACCTGCAAGTATACTTCCTACTAAATAGTCTAATCTTTATTACAAGTTTTAGTTGAGTTGGAAGTTGTTAGACTTGTTCTAAGACTTCTCTCGTGGTTGGTGCCTTCTTAGGTAGCGGTGATGTAAGGACAGAGACTCTGGAGTTCCAGCACATTCCACTTCATTTAGGTCTGGTGTTTGCTCGGTTGTTTTTAACATTCAAATACCCTTCCTCAAAGCACTGGACTTGGGGTGGGATTGTTAAGACCTGAACACAACTGGAAATTCCAAGAAGTTCTGAGCTTAAATCTAAACTGGTTCTGGTCTGCATGAAAAAATAAAAGCTTTCTGATCTGCTTTACCCTCTGAACTGCTCCATTTCAGATGTTGATAGGTTTTGCCTAAAAGCCAGGTCTAGGACACGTAATCTAATGATTTCAATACGATTGATCAGTTTTGCATCAAAGATTGATCAAATTATTTACAGAAAATTACACCAGAAATGTTTTGAATGCTAAAAGCCCTTTAGTTCAGATTCATATGTAAATTAGAGAAAAACTGCAGTGAACTTAATTTGTGAAACAAATCATTTTTGTTGTGTAATGATTACTCACAAAATAAATTAGGCTTAAAAAAAAGAATGCCCAGACTGTTTTTGATATTCATCCCTCACATAAGTGGACATAAACTTATGGCCAGATTTATGCCCTAAACAATTTTTAAGGCATTATTATAATAATAAAACTATTCCCAACAATTGTTCTGTTTTGTGTTGTAACACAGAAACTGAATTAGTGAGTAAAATTCCTCAATTTCTCTTAGCATTAAAATTACACCTGAAGAATCTTCAATCATCTAATTAGGTTTGTCTAATTCTGCTGCTGTAAATATTCTGATACTATTCAAAATAATGTCAAAAGGACAGTGCAGTTTTGATTTGGACACCTTGTTCGAAGACGAGCCTTCAGATCTTTCCTGTCTTCCTCTGACTTGTCTGTAACAGAACAATTCTCATCATCCTCCTTCTCCTCTCTCTTGATAGTTGTGCCAATGGAACGATTCCCGCTTCCAGTCAGACCTACACACAGAAACAATAAGGCACTGAGCAAATCTTCATGTGATGATTTATGGAAATATTTGTCATATATAAGAAAAATAGGCAACTTTAACATTTCTGGTGAAATCAATAGACAGCATTATGGGTATAACATCCCACCTGTAAAAACATCAGAGTGGGAGCCTGAATGAACGGATGAAGGCCCGTGATGCAAAAGTCCTCCACCAGAGGGCAGACCAGCAGAATCCTGAAGGTGGTTGGAAACCTTTAAAGCAATTATTTCTGTTAGTGCCAACTTACAGGCAAAGAAACTGTTCATTTAACTGAATTTAGACCCCACCCCTAAGTGACTCATGTTTAGCATTTTTAACCCTCCTCAGACTCTAACCAGTTCTTGCAGGCGACTGGCCAGTCCAAGCGCTGCGCTGTTAAAGCCCGGTGTTATCCCCAAACCAGCCGACAGCAGGCTGTGCATTTCAGCAAGTCCCGGTCCTCCCTGTCCGCTGGCATGTCGCTGAAGAACATTGAGGGCTTCATCAAGGTGGTCCTGCACTTTACTCTGCTGCAGAGCAGGAAAAAAACAACAACTTATAAGCTGATACAAAATTTAAATGATCACCCTGATTTTTGACATTAAACCTTATTACAGGTGACTCACAACAGACTGAATTCCAGACTCAAAGTTAGGTGAAGGGGTGGCCTGGCCTGAGGAGCGAGTCCACTGTGATGCAGAGCCTTAAAAAACAAAAACAAAGAATAAGAAGTTATAGAGATTCATTTCCATTTAAGTTCACCTCACCCTCAGGAGAACTCATCCAACAATCACATTTTTGGATTGGAATTACATGATGGAAACCTTACTAGCGTAATATGTTGAAGAAACAAGATTGTGTTTTTCTACAGAGGTACAGGATTTCTACACAATCGCAATTCAAATTTTTCCAGATACATTTTCAGAGCACTCAGTCCATTAATCTTATAATGTCAGGGTGAATAATTGGCAGGTATTTCTATCATGGTAGGGCTTTACATAAAAAAGAACCAGAAAAACAGTCACAGTAGAAAAAAGTAATCACAATAAGAAGGGAATAACCAAAAGGACACAAACAGGGCAAGAAGCATAAATGAAGGAGACAAGGGAAGGAAGGAACAAATAGAAAGAGAAGCAAGAAAGGACCGAAAGAGAAAAGAGAGAGAAAGGAGAAAATAAATTAAAGCATGGAAGGACAGGGTACGAACAAAGAACGAAGGAAAAAATTGACAGAAGTAGACAAGGAGGTAGGGAGGAAGAAATAAAGGAAGGAATAAAGAGAGATGATGGATAGCGGATGGATGAATGGATGGACGGACGGACGGAAAGACACAATATTTAAGCAACAGGGCTGGGAATAAGGTCTGGAAACATGAGGAATTTTCTGTATTTCCGGAACATATTTATCTGGAATTACCAGGGCGATGTCCAGAACAGAACATTTTAGTTAAATACCACGTTTTTCAAGACTGTGTATGAATCTTGTGATGTGCTTTAGGGCTGGGCGATAATTCAATAACAATATATATTGATCGATAGACGTGTGGTGCAATAGAAAAAAATCGGGTCGATAAAAGTTCGATAAAAAAAAACGCAGTTTTCCTTCCTTCTCATTGTAGCCTATCATGTAGGTTTATGCTAGTCACTGCTTCCTCCTAACCAATCCCAATCGCAATCGCGGACCCAGGCACATGGTCACAAAGCGCCGCCCTCTCAAACCACAACACAGAGCACATGAAGATGTCGCAGCAAGGAGAGGCGGAGGAAATTGTTCCAAAGAAGGGTTTTTGTAGTTCGCCAGTTTGGCAGTATTTCCTTCATGGCAAGTCGGACAAAAAACAAACCACAGTCATCTGTAAAATGTGCAGGGAACCAGTGAAAACGAAGTCTGATAACACAACCAACTTTTTATTTATCATCTCAGCCGCTCACACCCGCAGGAGTACGAGCTGTGTAGGCCACGGCGCGCATCTGCGGCGTCCTCCGAGGAATCTTCTGGAATTTCGGGAAAATATATATATATTTTCAGTTCTGGGCAGTTTCCCACGTAGTTCTAACAAGTGAGAGAAAAATGCTGAGGGGCCAGAAACTTCAAAGTAATAACTCAGGTTAAAGCAGGAAGCTAAGCCGAACCAGGTTCAGCTAAGAAGAATGCGGGCAGGGGGGTTATTTATTTGTTGTATTTATTTTGGTCACTTTTCTGGTCACTTTAGTTTATTCTTTGTCAGTATTTAATAACATAACTCAGGTCTCTTAAGTTATTTTTCTTTAAAACAATTCTGTTATGGTTAAAAAAGTTGGTTAAATAAAGATTTAATTGGAAGTCTGTGTTTGTGTTCTTTATTAAAATTAAATCATTTAGCAATATTATAAAAAGTCCAGGCAGAGCTGCACATAAAATATGGTTTCAAATCTTTTCAATAATTATCAATATCGATCATTATGCATTTTTTTTTTATCGATAAGCTTTTTTTCTATATCGCCCAGCCCTAATGTGCTTATCTGAACACTAAACATACAATTTAATTTCCAGCACAGAAAAAGGGGAGTAAGTTGGTCAACCTAAAGAAATGGGCAAAAAATTAGTGAGAGATAAAATGTGCTGCACAAGCTTCTTTAAAAGAACAAAGAAAGGTTCCAGGCAGCAGTAATGAAAACTGAAAGACGCCAATAAGAGACAACTATGAATCGCCCTCTAAAGTCCCACACTGTGGCGGGCAGCCATCAGCTCAGAACGTACAGACACCACCAGGACCCTGCTACACCCACCTACAGTCTGGAGATGTCTGGTCTCAGAAGCCAGAGAACATTCCTCTGACGGGGAAACAAAGCCAAGCTGACAGTGGGTTCTCTAGTCCAACAAGTCAAGAACTGAAATGCTTGCCTTGAACAGAAGGCTGTTTGATTGACTAAAAGGACGACTCTGAAACAACAATGTGGTGTGGAGGAATGTAATTGCAAACGCAGATTTGGAGAAACCATTTCCAAATGTGTAAGTGTGCAGATTGGAAACAATCCAAGCAGGGATTACAAACTGTGATTTCAGCCACCAGAAGAACTAAAGGTCTCACTACAGATGGTATGAAGACCATAAAGCTCTTATACCAGGATTACATGCAGAAACTGTCTAAATCTAGGAATGAAGAGCAGCAAATTGTACAAAAATCTGCATCCATAAAAAAAAAAAAAAACTATGCCAATTGTTATTATCATTATTATATTAGGTAAGTGATTGTGTTTTCTAATCATGGTACATTTTAAAATTTAAAAAACACACTTTCATTTTTTGCAGTAAATTCACACTTCACTTATGTAAATAATAATAAAAATAACTGTATTTGTAATATATCTTGGTAATCTTTAGGCCATAGAACTATTCTTTTTCCTAATTAGCCTCACATATTTCACCCCTCTGTTGTCCCTGGTCTTGTGACAGAACTTCACACACCAAGTGTGTCATTAATGCCTGCATTGACTGCAGAGACAAAGAGGGAAGTGACCCCACCTTGTTTTTTACTTTTACTGTATTTTCCCTTCCTCTCTCATAAGCTATATCAGGACGGGGAGTTTACTTGCTAGTGTACCACATCTATAAAGTGAAAGTTGTACCTTGGATGGAGTAGTAAAACAAAACCCAAGTAAGATACTGCTGTTCCGCTTTTAAGGTTAGGGGGCTTTCTGTTTTTTTTTTTTTTTTTTTTTTTTTAGAATTAATTAGAATCACATATTTTGACTTAAGTTGAAATTGAATGCTAGTTTGAAAATTAAAGTAAGATTTATGACACTTTAACATAACTGTAGCTTTTATATCCTGATTTCATCTATTCATGATAATCTCATCGTTTTTTTAGTCTTCATCAATCTCTGCAAAGTGGATCTTTGTTTTAATCTACATCAATAGAGAAAATAAACATGTTTCAAAATAAATGTGCATTTGGCAGAGGTATTAAATAAAAATTGAATATATTAATGTTTCAGATCCTATACTTGGTTTTTTTTCTGTTTACCACTGGCGTGGGTCATGGCGTGGGTCATGTTTATACAAGCTTTTAATAGTAATGAAATACATAGGCCATTTCTCAGATCACAAAAACGCGAGTACGGACTCGTGTCCTCGCCAAGTATGTTCTTAAAAAGAACACAGGAAAGTCTGGACTTAGGGAGAACGGGAGCACACATATGGGTAAATTGGAACAGAAGCCTACTTGTGACGTCACCACATGCTCGGGTGGTCTGGAGCTGCATTTCACCTTCTGTTATTAATAAATAATAATAAATTCCAACTTTTTCATTTTGTAGGGGAATAATAGGTAACGCAGTCAGATAAACTCAAATCAAATAAAGATTTTGCCAAATAAAACAAAAAAACAAATCGCCATCAGAGCCAGCGGTACTTAACACACGGCTATGAGGAGAGTGGGCTGCTGCAGAATGGCTAAGGTTAGCGCTGGGTGCGGTTAGACACAGAGGTCCACTGGTTGCCACAGTCCTCTCAACATCAGAACTTTTTTTTTAATTACCCATTAAATCAGTATAGTGATGCTGTTCTCACCTCAAAGGATCTTAAAACGTATTTTTATAGAACAACTGCAACAGAAAAGAGAACTTTTAACTTGATACTCTAAGCGCTCCTCCTCTAGAAGCTGCTGCTGCCGCAGTGCATGCCGGAGAAGCTCCCGAAAACAGACAAGTCTGCTATGATGCATACTCGGTAAAGAAGGAGGGGCGAGAACAACTTTGTCCATTCTCAGTCTTGTGTTGTTGTGAATTGGAACAGTACTAGGGCTGAGGCTGATGACGTTTCACAAGTACACGAGCACATGAGAACGCACCAGTACACACAATGAGAAAAGGCCAGAATAATGTATTTTCAGTCACCTTTAAACCCAATGGATAAAGCTTTCTCACAGAAATGTTTTCGACTCACCTGATAAAGCTTGGGGTGAGCGAGAGGGAGTGGATGGCGATGGAGGGAAAGCGTTACTGTTAGGGTCTGAAGGATAAACCTGAACAAAGAAATTATTATTATTTACTTCTAATTTTACTGCCTCAGAGAATAACTTCACTCTCATGGAAGTAATAGGATTACTTGATAACAAATTAGCCTCTATAACCACTTACAGATGCCAGGGCTTTTCCAATCTCATCACCAGAACTTCCAGGTACAGCCCCTCGATTTGCTGAATGAAAAAAAAAAACAGCTTTTAGTTGAAAACATTCATTTTACTATGCCTTGCAAAAGTATTAAAACCTCTTAAACGTGTGATCATAGTGTAATTACAGACTTCAATGTATTTTGTGAGGATTATATGTGGCAATATGAAGATACTGCATAACTGTGAAGTGAAAAAATACACAGTTTCCTTTTCTCTTTTTTTTGTTTGTTTGTTTGTTTTTAAACAAATGGAACTATGTTAGTTGAACCCCTGAGTAAATACTTTATAAAACACCTACATTTTTTCCCAATTTTCTTTGCATAAAAGTCCATGCTCTGTTAGCTGGGATGGGGAGCACCTGTGAACATAATTTTCAAGCACTGCCAAAGATACTTTATAGGACAATCCAAACTTTGACTAGGTCATTCTAACATATGAATATACTTTGGTTTAAACTAGTGCTGCACGATTAATCTAATCACAATCGCGATGTCATGCTATGCAATTATGTAATCGCATAAAAGACTGCAAATTGCGATTTTGTATAAAGAGCCAAACTGGACAAAAGCTAGACGAAACAAGTGAGACTGATCATAGTAAAAAGCCCCGTATTGCTTTTGACAACCGAGCGAGTCTGCCTTAGAGTGCGTGACAAAGTCAGTGCGGTGACATCCCACAGCATTATTCTGCCACCATGTTTCACCGCAAAGCGTGGTGGTACTATTCTCTGGTAATATATCAGTATGAATTTATATGGGGATTTAAAAGTTATGGTTTCAAAACCACCAAAATTTTCTGTCAGGTCATCAGTTAAATGAGAGAGAGGTGTAGAGTAAAGCACTGCTGCTGGTTCACCAAAGTAATTTGCAAACACTTAGCATACCATTAGCTTTTTCACACTTCATAGTTATGCACCAACTTGTGAGAGTCAATCACACATAATCCTTATTAAGTACATAGAAGATTGCACTTCTCATGATATAAAAATGTGAAAAAGGTTAAGGAGTATAAACGCTTAATTTAGGGCAGCAGTATCTATGTAAATATATCTTAAACATTTTGATTTACCCAAAATAGTTTCAGTGCCAGCGATAGGGGGTGTATGGTTAGGAACTCCGAAGCTGCTAGAGCCTGTGTGGAAGCTGGCAGGATGAGCTCCATTCACCTCACTGCCGTGTAGGGGGTAGTTTTGCGGGGAGAGGGGAAGTGGATGCCGTTTCTTAAAAGAGCAGATCCAACATAGTTTAAAATATATATGAAATACTTCATTACAAATATAAGATTTGAAACATTTTAGAAAAAAATAAAAAATAGCTCACCATTCTGTCTTGAGGGTTGATTGCAGTGAACGGACCATGCTGGCCCAGATGGGGGGAGTTTCCTAACACCGCAGAATAACCAGGCTGAATCATCGACCCAGCAGAGCCCCAAGGATCAGAGGGCGGGTGGAGGCCTTCTGTCAGGGGGGCATTCAGCAGAGAAAGGGGAAAAAATAAGGGAAAGCAATAACCATCCACGGGAGAGAAGACAATGAAGACCACATATGAGACATGTCACATTAGCCCGACGACTTTATTCAGCTGTGGTTTAACATATAATCCCAGTGTCCTGCTGCAACTACAGCACCTACAGTTCATCTGTACACACTCTACCTAAAACTGGATGATTTTCCCAGCTGCTTCAAAGGAAAATTCCAGGAAATTGTTGATTTTGCCAGACTAAACTTTTCATCTAAACACAAAGAACATGTAGAGACTCCAGAGGAAAATATTGTTTCAGCTGACCTTGCCCGTAGAAAGATGGGTAGACATTTCCTGCTTTGGAGGCTGGGAAGCAAGAAGTGTCCCGATTGAAATCATCTCCAGTGGGTGTTGGATAAACCTGGAAAAAAAGTGAAACATGAAGAAATGACAGACCAGGATCTGAGAGAACAACAAAAGTGGACCACCCCTTAGCTCAAACCAAAAGTTTACATACACCCATTAAAAAACAGTCACCACTTTATCTTCAAACTTATATTAAATCAGACAATTCTAGATTATTCAGATTGTCCAGTAGTTTGCCTGCATTTCCAAAGTGTGTTGCATGAAGAATTACCTTTAAACTGCATGACTACACAAGCTTCTAGCCACATTTTAAGATATTTCCTCCTGACAAAATTGGTGTAAAGTAGGCCTGCTTTACTGAGTTATACATTTGCAGACCTGTCCATATATATTATATATATCAGGCTTAGGTTTAGAGTCTGAAAAGATAATGACTTTGTTTTAATTAAAACAGTTTTTCATCCGCACCACTACTGACCTCAGCCTTTTTTTTAAAAAAAAGCTTAAAACCCACTTTTTTAAATTAGCATCTAATTCTGACTATGATAATACTGTCTCTTAGATGTCCTCTTTCTGTGTGCTCCTTTCTATGCACCTCTGGAAGGCTTTTAATGTCCTGCAGCGCTCCACCAATACAGCACTTTTAATTGTATCTGTAAGTTTTATATGTGTTATGTATTTTTAATGGCTTTGTTGTAAAGCACTTTGTGTACCATTTGGCTATTGTAAAGGGCTATACAAGTAAATTTGATTTAGATTTTTTTTTTCATCTATTGTGCTTCAATGCTCTATTCATTCATAGCTTTCCATTTAGACTTTCAGTGGCCCACATTTTGTTTTGCTTCTGCCGGATGTCTTGTATTGTTGAGTTTTTGAATTCACAGATCTCAGGACAATTCTTCCTGCTTTCGAGGAAGTATCTCTAGAGATCTTACCTCAATATTTCCACATAATGTTTTTATGCACCAGTCCCTCCTGCAAAAAAACACAGCATGATGCTGCGACCAATGGACTTGCTGGGATGGTTTCATTAGACTTCCATGCTTCCCTTTGTTTTCTTTCAAAAAATATATATGTGGTCTGCATGATCAAATTTTTCCGGTTTAGTTTAAACAGACCAAAAATCGAAGCATTTATAAACTGTGATTTGTCTTTTTATGTTGCTTTTAGAGTAAGGGCTTCTAATTGGATAAGAATAGGTACAGGGTGATTTTATAGGGGGACTGTTGGCCTAGTGGTTAGAGCAGTGCACTTGTGCTCTGAGAAGGTGGCAAGTAGCCGATTCGATCCCCACAGCCTGCACTCTAGGTCTCTGAGCAAGACCCTTAACCCAACACTTCTCCCCGGGCGCCACACAACAACAGCTCTCCCCTCCCCAAGGGAATGGGTTAAATGCAGAGTTAATTTCTCCATTGTGAGATCAATGATGTTCAGTTTATATTTCTTTATATTTTGACAGTTGGTAATGAAACTCAGCTTCAGTCAGCATCTTTATCCTTTTGCTCTGGGGTTGGTTCAAATATTTTTTTGACCAAACAAAAAAAAAATAATCTAGGGAACAAAGAACTTGTCTCCTCCTTTCTGATACAACCTTGATGTCACACAAGCAGTCTTGATTTCCGGGGTGAAACTTATTTTATTTAATTGATTTAAACTAAACAATGACAACCTTTTAAAAACAATATCACAATCTGAGCTTTTCTGATTGCTGAAAGGCAGAGTAATCTGACTCTTATGAAAACTTCTTCCTTTTAAGAAAGTCAAAAAGAAAGGAAACAATCTCTTGTTTACAACTCAGATGGGAATAAATGTTTTCTATTATTATAAACAAAAAATACACTATCTTTGAAGAGTTTATGTAAAAGTTATTGCTTTAAACCTTTAATAAACCATGTGTAGCTTAGCTGGAGTTGCAAAATGACCAACATAAAAGCTAAAATCCCTCCTCAGCTAATATGCATTTTACTCATCTGGTTTGGAAATGTATCTAAAGACAAATTTCTTTAGATGGATCAGAGAGTTTTAAATGTATTGGCTGTTATAAGCTCACATCTACCGTCTCATTTATATTTGATCATGCTAGGCTGTTAAAAACTAGCATGTAACTCACCACCTTCATAAAGTTTTAACCAATCAAATATAATCTGCATATTGAAATGGAAATAAAGGAGCCACTGTTTTTTTAGCACCTCTCTATTAATGGAAGCTCTGTCAAATCATGAAATGAAGTATGCCCGTAAAACTCTGATCAGAGCGAACTGAAGTTTTCTTCTGTGATTTGATTAAACAGAGAAAATAAAATAAGAGGAAAAGAGAAGGAAAAGGAGAAGAGGGAAGGGAGAGATGCACTCCTAATTACTGAACCATCTGCCGAATCCTGGACGGCAGCCAACTCTGCTGGCAGCTGGGATAGAGGAATGGGGGAGGGAGTGGGGGAAAGGGGAGGGCTGTTGTTTATGGCTGTGGAAGAGGGGAGAGAGAGCAAGGCTGTGTGAGGTTGGGGGGAGCAGAGAAAAAATAAATGAGGAAATAGGGTGTCCATGGAGGGAAACAGGGAGGAAGGAAAAAAAGATAGGGGAACAAGAACCATCAACCCCCTCAAGTATGAATTCTCCTCCGTGATTCGAGGAGTATACTTGGCAGAAACCAAGAACTGTAGCCACAAAGCCAATGGTACAAAAATACAACATACTATATATATATGCTGCAAAAGAGTAAATAAGTGGCTAGTCCCACTGTTGCTTTTGGACTTTGCTGCAGCAGATGCACAGCTGTACAATCTGAAAGGTCTGCACTGCTCCTATCATAGAGCATTCATCGAAATGAATGCCAGAAAATTGCTATTTGTATGACTGTTAAAGACTAAGGTGTAACATAAAGCTGAATATTTTCTTGAAGCTTTTACTTACTGAGGAAGGAAGGCCAAGTGGCAACTTTCGTATCTTTTTGGGCTGCGGTTCTGCTGGGAAAGATTCAAAAGGGAAACCTTTTAAGTCTGCTTAAAAAAAGTCAAGAAACATCGCTAAATCTACTGATAAAATAACTACACATTATAAAATAGAAGTTTTCATTTATATCTCGTTCTTCCTTTCCAAGCTATTAGCCTTTATGTTGCCTCATAACTACCTGATCAGAAAAGTAACCAGCAAAAGTTTTACAGCTCTTTAAACTTAGAAGTAATTAAAGCTGAATTTCCTTCCTTAAAAGAAATATAAACACCAAACTGCTTAAAAAATTAGGTAAAAGGTAAATATAGATCACTTTGCAAAAAACAACATCTGTGAAAACAAATGAGTGTCTAATGACTGTTATATCCCTAAAAGACTATTAAAATTTTTTTTTTTTTTCTTGTAATCTTACCAGTGAGGTCCTGTGATGCTCTCCTCTTCTCATAGGATGAATACAGCTGGGAATTGGACTTGGTAGCAGGAGGAGAAAGGCTATCAGGACTGGGCAGGGGTAACTCACTTGGCATAAAACCGGGCTACAGACAGTTTACAGAGAAAAAAAAAAGGAAACAGCATAAGAAAATGTCTACGTAAAGAAAAACTTGAGGTTTTCTTGGATACAATTTTAGCTTAAAAAAGCAGTTTGTTGTAATAAACTAGGGTTTGTGTTTTGCTGACCTGGTGAGCTAGATTTACCACCATTAGAGTAGATCTAGGGTTCAGGTTTTAAAAAAAGGAGCACACAACACATTAGGAATGAACTGCGAGGAAATTCTAAGTATGGTTCTACAACTGCAATAAGGATGAAAAAGGTATAATTAATCAGCTTCACTGGACTAATGGTGTGCAGCACTACGGTGGACTCATCCTAACAATTCTGCATTTATGCTGTTATGCTCACATGATTTAGAGCAGTTAATACATTTGTGAATCTGAATAGTTCTAAATATTTGCCCACAGCTGGTAAGTCAATGCTATGTTAACACCTGCGTTGCGTTATGTGATTCTACAATTTTTTGCTGAAGTTTAAGAAGTTCTTTACAACCTGACCGGAAATCCACTAAAAATAAATCTTTAAAAGACGCTCTGAACACATTTTCTGAAAAAGGGCTCAAGTCTAATATATGTATTTATTTGTTTGCATTTTTGACAAAATGTAAACCTCATAAAAGAAAATTAAACCAATTTACCTGCGTCCCAAATGATGAATAAGAGCTTCGCTGAGCCTTCCCTGTAAAATAAAAACCAAAACATTTACATGCGAGGATTGTAAAAATGCAGCTTTGATGGATCTGTTAAATGACACAACCCGCTTTTCATCCCGTTTGCTTCACAAACATATATGCTGTGGTATTTATGGCTCTGAACAGCAAAAATTTAAACAAATGGAATCATCACAAATGTGTCTGGGGCAATTGTAGTCAACTTCTGGCCCCTCAACTGACAGTTAAACAGAGAGGAGCTTTAGTCCACTGTTATCCCCAGGGAGAGCCCTGTTTGTGCATGGGTGCCCTTTACACCCCCACCCCTCCCTTACTGAAAAAACACACACACACACACAAACAAGCCCCTCCTCCACATCCTCCCCGTACACCCTTCATCCTGAAATATGCGCTACCCTAAACTGCTACATGAGTGTTGGACTTGTGAATGGCTGCCCCCTAAAACAAACTGCTCCTTGTTCTGTTCAGTCACACTGTCCATTGATGCAGAAGTCTTTGCTACAGTTAAACACGTTCTTCCATTACTTAGTCCGAATGTGACAGAGATTTAACCAGTTAGCTTTCATTTGCAAAAATGGACGAATGATTTGAAAGTGGTGATGGTCCATTTAAATCTTCTTACCAGTGATCCCTGATCCAAATACTGGGGTAGAGGCCAGGCTTTCTCTCTCACTGTACAAACCCTCCTCATAAACCTAATGGAAAGAAATAGAATCAGAGGTTAAAAAGGCCTCAAATCTCTTTTTTCTTATCTACAAATGCATATAAACACATATATTAATACATCTTACATTTTATGTTAGTATAAGAATGGGATTTGATTCTGGATGGATCTATTATTTATTAGCCAATACAGAAGTCTCCTTATCACTAAGGTCCGACTCACAGATTTAGATAATTGACAGATATTTTGACTATGAGACTTAAGAGACAAAAACAAATATGCTGAAGGTTGTCTGACAGAAAAAGTAATAACATTAGTATTCGTATCCAAGCATTGAAACATGTTTTTCTATTGTTTATCTGACTTTTACTAAACTAAGATTGAAGCATATGCTGGTCACTTATACGGACAGACTGGACATGAAAAAGGTTTTTTGTTTTTTTTACACTATGCAAAGTAGAAAAAAATATTTTCACAATTTGACCTAATCAAATACAGAAAATAGGCTGATCCTAATCTCTGGTTAGCGGATCAGTTTCTTTTTCAGAGCACAAGTGAGGCGAAATGGAGAACAAATTATAAGGCTTGCATTAAACAACTGCCAAAAAGAGCAATGGAGTGGACATGGCAGTGATGTCACTACAGCTTCTGCCCTGCTGCTTCCCTCAGAGGTTTTTGGGTGGTAAGCCCAATAACTCATTATCAAACAGCACACAGATTTCTATACATCCATCAAAATAAAACGATGAGATCCTTTCATTTTTATTTCATGTACCAGAAAATAAAAAAAATACTCTTGATTTTTATAAAGCTTCATTATCATATTGCCAAATCATATGGGTTACAACTTAAACTCTGATATAAGGAAGCCAGGTATCTAACAGTATTAAAAGTTGTAATGTTAAAGTCTACGACACTTTATTAATTTACACTTTGTGTGGTGAAGCGGTATAAGGTGGTAAATCATGCTTACTATGAAGAATAATACAACATCTGCACTCTATGTCTGAGTCTAATGAATAGGGCTAAAATAAATCGTACCCTTCCTTGGTTGAAAGATGGGCTAGTCTGTTCCCCCGGTCCCCAAGGACTGGTGGACCCTCTCCTGTCATCTATACCTGCAGGAGAAAAACTTTGTCAGGTAAACAGTAAAAAAACAAAACAAAAAAATGTAATCACAGATTTATGTTCTTGTATTGCAACAGATGTGTCACTAGAAAAAGCGATGAATTGCTTTGATAGCAGTTTTTCCGGCTCCTTTAAGTAACCTCAATTGAAAAGCTTCACTTCAAAGCTCACAGAGAGACAGCACAGTGACAGTGCTGTCACATAGTCTGGATATGAGCTGTAGGAAGTTTGAATAATTAACACCCAGTGCAAAGCTTCCAGAATTATCCACGACATTCCTCAGTCTCCTACTACACTCCTTTACATTTACCATGGCAACAGTCATTCATAACCCATTTACTGTCACGCATAAGGCCCACACCTTCATCTTAACGCAGGCTCTATGTCTCAAAACTCACATGGCCCCCATGTGTTAGCGCTGGTCGAAGCAGCTTTCAGAAAGGTGGCGCATGTTGGAAGAAAGAGATGTTAAGGATTTGTGAAGCAGAAATTTCTGCCCATCCCCTTGCTCTCAGTCTCCTCATACTGCAACACAGCATCTCTAGGGGAAATCTGAAGCTTAATTGCACTCAGATTTGCATAATTGTGCATATTAATGAGGCTTAGCCCTATGAATATTCATATTTTTTGTTTTGTTGTCTAATTAAAAAGCTAAGCGGAGGGGAGGGGAGAGGGGGTGCTAGAATCCTGACAGCATCAGCAGTAGAACAAAAATAATGGCTCCGTATAGAGCCAAAAGCAGCTATACTGCAGTGACAAGTGTGATCTACACGACACCAGCGGAGTAAGAGATGAAGAAGGAGTTTTCATTTCCCCTCTCTATGTCTGTCTACCAGGCTGACTGTCAATCAAAAAAAATAAAACACACATTCAACTTTCCTCCTACTGATTTCTGTCACCTTCAAACACAATAAAAGGCTTAAATCTATTAAAATATTTGGAAATTTTAACTCTAATTCCACGTTTTCACTCAGTCACAGAAACACAGAATAAATTGCCTCATGAATGCAGCTGAAATGAACTACATGCTAGGGCATCAATTTGCACTCATTAGTCCTTCTGTAGTCGTTCTGTCCTTGGAGCTTTTAAAACAGTTTTTCCACTTCATCAAGCTCACCTACTACCTATATATTACGGTTTTCATTTAGTTATATCTTTCAAATTGCAGCTTGACAGAATTACAAATGAGTTCCAATTAGAATGGAATATTTGTTCTTTGTCACTCACATGATACGTGTATTGATAAATTGGTAATGACTAAGGTACACCAATATGGAAAATTTTCTCTGGTATCAATATCCTTTAAATTTCTGTTCTGATCAACTTGCTATATATTTTTTTATTATAAATAGGTGTTGCCCTACCCTACCTACCACATTGAGAAAACGACCATATTGCTGACATTGCTTCTGTAAAACATCCCACAATCCTGACTAATCACTGACTAAAATCAACAAATATCAATATCAAACAGATATATAACCACAACATAGGATATACACTCACAGGACAGACAATAAGGCATTTTCATTTAGGTCAATCAGCTGAGCCACATAATGAAAGTGTACCAAACTGCACAACAATGAGGATAATAACCGTTTTTGCTGCTGAAAAAATACCATTCCACAGCAGGCATTGCAGCAGAGAGCAGGGTCTTGAAGGAGCTCATTCGTTTGTCAAACCTTACAGGTCAACAAATCAGAAGAGAGCAATACTTATTTGGGAAATGTAGCACACAGGTTGTATCTAAAAACTGCAACTGATCATGGCTCCTGTGTCGTTACACTTGCGCTACACACATGTTGCTAGCTTCGTATCAGATGGAGAGAAAATGTCTGCTGCTTGAACATGTTCCCAGACATAAGAAGCACAAAGAGTTCTGGAGTAGAAAAATAAAACAGTGTCTTTATCATTATTTAAATAACACTCTTTTTCCAAAACCAACACTTGGTAAGCTATGAGAATAAATGAGTAAAGTAGCTGACTGTGGGTTGGCTGCCCAAGAAGATATCATTCAAACTTATTGGTATCATCTTATACTAACTTTGCTACTCTTAAGATCAAACAGGCAAAATGTTATGATATTCTGTAATTAGAAAACTGCTTCCACATTTCTAGACATTCATTGTATATATTTTTTTTTCCATCTCTGACAAAAAAAAATTATCTAAATATTAGGAAATAAAATAAGAAATTAAAGTAGCAAAAAAACTATAAAAGTGAATATTTTAAATTGTTCTTATAGCAGCAGGAATAGGTTGCCTTTCTCTATATTTAACTTAAATCAGATAGTTTGTTTAATATAATAAAACGTATCATACATATAGATTATTACCCAAAAATCTACCCAAGGCCTCAAACACATCTGGTGAATAAATGCATTTACAGCCCATCGTTTCCATCCGGCAAGTTTTCAGCTCATTAGGTTCTATGGACAAATATTTAATCCCAAAATAAATTGCTTTACCAGATCATAGTGCTGATTGCCAATGATGCATTACAGCAAACATTATTTCTAACATATTACCGTTCATGATACCGATAGGACATGCCAAAATCAGGATAGAACTATCAACAGTTAGGAACTCAGACAGACTAAGATATTAAAACCAACGAAAACAAAAAGCGAGTGAGTAACAGACATATTCTCCCGAGAACCCCAACGCACTTTTCCTCCTAGCATGCAACACCCCTTTAAGGTTGCCTTGTCTATAATTACACAGCACAGACAGGGCTATCGGAAACAGGCAGCCAGCCTGAGTCCCCGGCTTCATGACTGAAACGCAGGCAGATATATTGACCAAACATGCAGACATGTCTTGGTTTTTACAGGAACATTGCCCCGGGCCAGCTATAAACGAGCGTGCCGTTTGTCTACACAACTTCTTCCTTCCCCTGGAAAAATGACTCACACAGACACAAAGTGTGATGTCAGATAAAATCTCAGGGGAGTCAGCACCATAAATGAAATCTTAAACAATGTACAATGACACATGGCTAAGTTTTTAAACCTGTTAGTCACAGGAGACTTCCTCAGCCCAAGACAATGTGCCACACAAGCCTTTTAACATCAGGAGCAAAGCTTATGTTGAACATTATTATGTTAAACATTGGTGTCTAACAGGTATTGAGGCTTTACACAGCAGACATTCATGTAACTTTCCCACCTGAGTTTTTAAGATCCAGTTTCACATCTGCTTGAAACAAGGAACCTTTTCATGCAAATTTACATCATCTCTCCCTTCAGAACTTCTAACCATACCACCCTAAAAATAAATGGTAGAAGTCTCGGTTTCTCGTGAACTAAAAAATGAAACAGCAGAAAAAAAGAACTGGATTTAATCACTATGAAATTTACTGAAATCTCTGATAAAGAGCACAAAAAGATGCAGCAAGCGTTCACATAAATGCAAATCTAACCCATGCAAATAATTAAAAAACTAATTATTGAGCAAAATGAGATATGTTGATGTAAAAAAAATTATTAAAATTAATTACGACAGTATAAAATTAAGTATTATTATTATTTTTTTAATTATTATTAGGTATTAGGATCCATATAGACTCTTTTAAATCAAGTTTCTCATGATTCGATGTAGTAATAGGCATGTATTAGATCATCAAAAATGTGTTGATCTTTCCCTGGTATCATTATATACATTTTAGTTCAAAATAATTCATACCCTGGTGAATTTACATTATTCCATCAAACCAATATGTTTCTTTTAGGATAGGACAAAAGCATATCTTAATACATAAATAAAATAATATAAGGACTCAAATTTGAGATAAAATAATAAAAAAGGTTTACATATTTCATATAAAAAATGGCATGTTGTAAATGACATACACCCTCCTTAACAATCAAGGGAAAAACCCTTATCCCAGTTACAGCAAATTAGCCCTTCTTATGGTTGCACTTTGCATGTTTCCCCGGATATTAGGATGATTTAGCTTTTGGAAGCTGGGGACTTCAAGGTTGGAGTTTTTCCTCTGATCTTTAGGTCCCTCCATCACTTTTCAGTTAGATTAAACTTTGGATTCTGACCTGGCCGCTCCAAAACTTTAGCTTCGTCAGTTAACCAACATAAATTTACCAGTGGTATAAATACTTTTTCCTAACTATATTGAATTAAAACAAAAATACTTGCTACATGTGAAAAAGTATCAATTAACAATAAAACATATTGAATACTGAAATTATAATGATGTTTTCACTCAAACATATTTAGTGCTTAAGTGATTCTGATCCATAGACTTAAGCAAACATATTATATAAAAACAGTCATGTTTGCATGTAGCTTAAAACTGTTTCATTTGCAAAGGTGTTTATTTTTAGCCTTTTTGCTTTTTTATACGAACACTAGTCGTAAATAAAGTCCATTATTACTGCTGGGATTAACTGGGCATCTGGCTTGCCACCGTGCACTCAGACATGCTGCCTAAAAAACAGAGTTTTATTTATAGAGTGATTTATTAAAGCTCGCCTTTTTGATTCACACCACCACTGTCTGTTATTTTAACTAAATTATTCTAAGCAGAAAAATTTGTTTTTGTTGACAGGATAATAATGTAGTAAGGTTCTGTGAGACACCTCACTGTCAGTGGGCAGATGGGTGTGGGGAAATGCTGCATTACTAAAACACTATAACCAGATAAAGCACAGGGAACGTATGAATGGGAATCGTTTTGAAGTATAACTTTGGCATGTCTTTATAGAAGTAATCAGTTCATGTTTGAATTAATGTGTATGTAAGACTACTGATTATTACAAACTCATTCAGGATAAGAGTTTTGGCCCTGATTTTAGAAATTATACAATAAAGCCCAGTCCACAATCAGGGATGTATATCCAAACTCTATACAAATTTTATGTAAGCTAAGGAGTAGTGTTTTCATTGTATCTTCTGTAACGTCACTGATACTCATCTGGGCAACACAATTTAGCTTTAGTAATAAAAATTTGCCAAATCAGTTTAATTTGGAAGAGTCTATCAAATCATTAGATCTAGTTTTGAACATAGGAAACAAATCACTGAGAAACATTATTAAAATCACACCTCTTATTTTCTATTTTGGGTTGCATTTATTTATCGTTATGTTGTAAAAGCTACTGCTGCATGTTCAGAAAATAAAACAAAATGAAAAAGGCTTTTGGGGGGTAACTATTAAGCTTGGTTTAGAGACAGAAATGAGGGGAGACTTGTTCAAACAGTTGTAAGAACTCTGATAAGGTTCCCCAGGGCTATAGGTGCCTCATGAGAAGCCGTTGAATTGATAACATCTACATGCCTCTTTTGTAAGTGCGCGCCTCATCCTTACAGAAAAACACACAAGCGGCTTTCTTGTGAATAGATGAAATAGAGCCCCCAGTAACCCCACCCAGCAACCAAACGTGCCATCTTTGATCTTCCCCTTGAATATCGTGTTTCTTTCTATTGCTCACTAAAAGACTTAATGCACCTCCAAAAAAATACAAAGAAGGCAGAGATTTCTATTTGTCTGCTAATAGTGAGTCTGGCAGAGTAGGGAAACACTGACTAGGATCTGCATAGCATCACCGCCCAGATACAAAACAAAACTAATACCAATACCGTATGATTCTAAGCATTATTGTCATATTTTGGTAAAGCCAAGTTACTTGAAACTAATAACAATAATAATATCAGATTGTGAAGACCATATAGGTTCTAAAGGTAATGACTGATATGGAGGCAAAATGAATTTCACAATAGAGAAAAAGAATTGAGGGGAGGGAAACCTTTGAGGGAAATTATTATAATTTTCTTTATTTGATCAATATACCTTGAAACAAGCTCACAGCACTTATCTTTAATATACACCAAAATTTATGAGAAACGAAATCTGTGAAACAGGAACAACATTTTATTGTATTACAACTGGAAAGAAAGGTAGAGCATAAAAATGGGGTAGTGAGACTGGAGACCAGCTCTAATGGAATTATTTTTAGAAACTCAGAGAAGCGCCACAAAAGAGATATATATATATATATATATATATATATATATATATATATATATATATATATATATATATATATATATATATATATATATATATATATATATATATATATACACACATATATACGGACACAGACTTTGAGTGAAGGAAAGACAAACAAACTGTTTCCTTTGTGTATTGTCTCTTACCAGGACCTCCAAACTGACTGCTGGCAAGAGTAGTCGGCCCGTTCTTTCCATTCGAAACTGGAGGTTCAAACATCTGAAAAGCGAGCAATAAATCTGTAAAACCACTGCCAGGCAATAAAACATTTGAATGTTCCCTCGATGTTTATGCAAACGCTGATCAGATGGTAATCCAAACTGTCCTGTGTGCTTTTCCTAACAACTGCAACAAACAACAGCCAACCTAAGCTTTTCAGCTACGGTTTGTGACAAGGAAAATTTAGACAAATCCAAGAAAAGCACAGCTTAATAAAGGCATGGTTGTTTAAATCCATCAATTGCTAATTGAAAATAAACCCCAGTCATTCATATTTCAAGGCACTCATCACCAGTTCATGGCTTATTATTGAAGTTAACCGGATTATCAAGGTAGGATTCAGACTTAACAAGGCCTTACCGCACTAAAATCCAGCAAGTCGCTCAGCTCCTTGTCGTTTTCAACTGCAGCCATTCTCTGATGCTGTTCACTGGGCCTTTTCAGTCTCAGCAACAGACTACAAGGACAAGCACGGACAACAGGGTGTCATTTTGCTTCAATAACTCGATTCTTATCAAGTTAAACACACATGTTAAGATGACTGTTTTCTGCCATGTGTTTCTTAAAGTAGAAAAGCATATCAATGTCTCATTTCAGCCTCAAAAGTTTACCTATGTGGACTCTTTAAATCCAACATCAAATGTTAAATAAAACATCAAAACTTGATTCATTAGGAGTAAGATTAAGAAAATGATGAACACAAAACCAAGAAATTTTCAATCATTCGTCACGATTTATTCCCATAATGTACTTGCCTCACCCTTCTCACGTGGCTTGAAATGATAGGGGTGGACTGACAAAAATTATTCAGTTCATTTAAAGCAAGATCTGTGAAGCTCAGCTAGAAAAAAAGCATTTAAGGCTCATTTCAAACGGCTACACTGCAAGTAGAGGCGAATCAATGGGATCCATGACTTTGATCAGAGAATAAGAACTGACCTCCTTACATTTGAACTTATAAAACTATTTCTATCTGTAAATTGGTTTGATATTCTAGCTGACCCTCACACAAATACATTAAGGAAGTAAAATAAAATCACAACTACCAAACAAAAAAAGAGGAAGCTTTCATTTGTGGTTAAAAAGATGCAAAAAAAATAATAAAAAAAAAAAACGTTGCAAAAAATTGGTTCTCCATCGTCGACAATTATAAAGATGATTGACAAATGAGCAGATAAAGCCTTTTCATAAACAGATTTAAAATTAACTTCAGTAACTTAAGCAACGTATGCACTTTTCATGATCTCATACATTTTTTTATCTACAAAAAGGTACAGTCACAAATACATTTTGGAGCTGTGTCTTATTTTCTTATATGACCATTTTAAAGAATTTAAAATAATAGATTTAAAAACTAAAAGCAATATCACCATCTCAATCTGAATCACCTTTAAAGGTGCATTCCCTCACATCTAACCATTTAGTCAGCATTGTGGCCAAGTAGTAAAAACAGCAAAGGCAGGGCTAAAAGTAGCCCACATCAAACCATGGTTCAGCCACAATCCAAACTGCATTTGGTTTTAGTCAGCTCTTGGACTTAAGCTGCTTCCTCCACATCAAAACCAACTGTGTTTAGTATATCTTCACTCAATTTTACAGAGTGATAACAAAGCTGGCTGGCCAAGACAAGCTTTTTTTTTTTCTTTTTTTTTGGCCAGGCAGCATAAACAGATTTTCCCTCGGAGTGAGAAAACATCTTAAAAACTATGGACCCAGGAAAAAAAAACAAAATACAAGAAAGAATCCCAGATAAGTCCTGCTCCACTTGGATGTGGATAAGGTTTGATTTTACACTGGATCATCACTGAATGTGAGATATAAAGCTAATTAAGTCAGTGTTGTTGTAGAAGACACACTGTATTGAATTAAACACATTTACCCTGTTAGCTGAGAAAGGGTTTGATACTAATTGTTGCACTAGAGCAACATTCTATGACATCTGAGAAACACAATAATTACTGGGTTTCAGTGGCTATTCCTGAAATATGACACAATATTATTACATTTCCAGTTGTGTTCAAACACTGCAATGCTACTCTTACACTGTAAACTGTTTACTTGCAAGCTTGGAAAAGAAACACCAGTCAAAATACCGAATGCCAAAACAAACATAGCATTTATTAGCAAAACAATGATCTTCCTGTGTTTCCTACATGTTACTGATGTGACTTTTTGTTCTTTAACATAATAACATATACATAAAGAGCAGAAAAATAAACTAATATTGTTTTCTTTACTGTATTTGACTTACCTTTAATATTTTTCGAAAAGTTTTTATAATATCCTGAGTAGGGGTGGGCATTTATTGTTTATTGTTCTATTTTAATGTCTAAACAATAAATTAGAATAAGTGATGATGGAAAAAAATTGTTAAATTGTTAATTTAGCTTTTGGGGCATTGGTATGTAAAGAATTTGATTAAATGCTGTTACTATGGGAAGTTTAATGATATAAATCCCACTTCTTTATGTAAATGGTATTCTGAAGAAGCGTAGTTTAAATTTGCATATTTTTAGGAAAGTAGTATGATTTTAAGCCTTGATTGCTGTGGCGTGCAGCCACAGCTATACAGCTACCTAAGAATGACTTTATTTGATTGTCTTTTGGCTCATTTGCAAAATATTTTTAACTCAAAAGCCTTTAAATCGGGAAAGGATTATTAGACACCCAATGCTGACTCTTTAAATCCCAACCTGATCCATGATTCATGCATTTCAGAGTCAGTCCCCTTTCCCCTCAATAATGAAATAATAAACAGCGTTCAAGGCCTTGCTTGTTTATCACCACTGGTCTATTTTCAAGCCTCCGTGTAAGGGGATCGACCCCCCCAAAAAAACAGCCAAATGTGTTGAGGGTCGCTGTTAATTAAACATGCAATTATCTCTGGGTTCTCTCTCAATGGCTAAAACGCTTTTTAAGTATAAGAAAGAACACTGAACCTGTAACGCAGCAAAGCATCTTATTATTATCAGAATTTAAACCCATTTAATACTGTTTGTTTAAATAAAATGCTGGGTTTTTAAATGTAAAAAAATTGTTATAGTTCATTTTATTTATGCTTTCTCATTTTTGGGGGAAAATGATGTAATCTAACTTGACATTTGTCCAGACTTTGACACTGCCAACAAATCTTTTGACAATTTTATTTTTGAAAGGCAACTATAATGTATTCATTCATAATAAGGAACATTTCTGTGCCTCCTTTATTTTTGCTGTAAAAGGTTTTGACTAAAGATAGAGCCTTTGATCACACTGTGTGATGATGCAATGTTTCAGCATAAGCCCATCAAATCTCATGATACAAAAAATAAACATATATAACGTTGTAACACCTAAATACTGTTATTACAGATGGGGCTGTTACTTTTGCTGTTTGAACGATTTGTCCACTCTAATTTTGTTGAGCTTATTGATATCTGTTTGTGATTTGAAAAAAAGAAAAGAGGATTTAATGCAATAGTTTAGTATTGGTTAAATAAAAAGTTGTACTGCTAAATGTAATGAAGAAGGTTTTTTCTAATTAGTAGTATTTGTTTACACGAGGCTTTGGTCATAGGCAGTGATGCATTTACAGGCGACAACACATCACAATGACAACCAAAGAATCTGATCAAATTTAAAGTCCATACTGCTTCTTCTTTCATTTATAAATCTTAAGTTACATATGCATGAATGTCACGGGCTTATAAACCAACACATTTAGCAAATTATGTAAGGATTGTGGGAGGACATACATAAGAAGTAATGTGATGAATATTAGAGGGGGAAAATAGGGGATGTAGTTTTCTTTGTTTTTATTTAACTCATATTACTAATATTATGGTACTTCTTTTGCTATTCCTGCGTTAATATGTTTAACGTGAATGTAATAAAACGACCAATAGGTTGTAGATAAGAGTGTTCGCACGATGGCAGCCAAGGACCCTGACAGCACATAATCTAGCAATTTCTATCTCTCACCGAGCCGAGGTCAAAATGGGGGATAAGTGCTTAGCCCCTCCTAACAAATGGAAGTTGCATTAAGCTTGTCTTGAGCACCCCCACCTTTTGGCCGGCGACATTTGGAGGAAAGTTACTCAAATTGTTACAGAAAACATAGCGTCCGAAATAAATAAATAAAATAAACACGAATGCTTGTTGTTTTCCCAGCAGTATTTAAAGGTCTTTTTCACCTCAGGGTTTGAAAATGCTGCGGGAAGTTTAAAAGGATCTGAGAAAAAAAAAACCTGTTGCCTCACACCGAAATGAACACAAAGACTCATCCCACCAAAGTTCATTTTACATTACAGAGTCATAATACAGATATTGATATTACTAAGTATACAAATCACAGAATTTAATCTAAGTGTCTGGGACACTTTCTTTTAAATAAATAAAGGTTAATACGGTAGAAGGTTGGGTTGAAGTGGGGAGAAGAAAATAACCCATGTCATTATCTGTCTTTATTTTTATTCAAGGAGCCTATTTCATAGTTATTTTTGAACACATTGGAATGTTAAAGGTATTTGTGTATATATTAACCGCAAACACTGTTATAAAAGAAGCCAACGGCTAGCACTTAAACATAGAACCTACAGAGAAGTACCAAGACCCCCCAGGGGAGCTAACTCACTCCGGCAAAATGCTAAAAACGTTATAGCTCACTTAAGTGAACAAAGAAAAGTGTTTAACATCAGAGCCAGGACTGCTAATGCTAAGCAAGACAGTAGGGACCGAAATAAGTGAAGAAAATCCAACACCCCGCTTGTCTTTTCACCGGCTGAAGCGCCGCAACAACTTAACCACTGCGCCTAAAACTTAAGTTATTACGCCGACGTTAACTAAATAACTTCCCGTGAGTTCGCTTGTTGTGAATGCGTCCACATTTACCTGGAGTTAGCTGTGTGGCATCCAGCGGCGGAGAGTGATATGAAGTGTGTCAGAAGAAGGGGAAAAACAAAGTTAGGGATAGAATCCTCCCCGTGGTCCCGGACGGACTGTGTGGGGCTTGATGAAGCGCAGGAAGGACAATATAGACGGTTCCTCTGTCGCCTCGCCTCCTTTTTTTGTCTTCGTTACAGAGCCGACCTCACGTCTTAAACATGGACCATAACTCGTTACTCGGTTTCCTTCTATTTAGTTAAACTGCAATCATTTCTTTTCCCAAGTAGACATTTTCACAGCCTCCACATTGTCGGTTCCAATGGAATATGCATCCGCAGCACAGCCTACACAGGGCGCTGAAACATCACCGGTGTCGAGTTTCAAATACTAAGAAGGAAAAAAATAAAATCTATCAGATTTTGTCAGTTTATGTTATAGGCAGCGTTTAACCTCTGCACCCTAAAATGTCAAGGCTCTAAAGCTGCGAACGAGACACAACAACGTCTAGCCACGAATTTAGGGGATCTACGTCAATTCGCGGATGAGGACAACAGACTAACCGAGCAAGATGGAACATTAATATAGAGGGGAGAACCAATTGGGTAACGCACAATTTTGATTGACGTACAGGACGACCAATTAGATTGTAGCATTATCCCTTAGGGACAGTCTTAATTTGCCAAAGGGTTTATTGCTTTTTTTTGGCAGTTTTTTTTTTTTTTTTTTTTTTTTTTTTTTTTTTTTTTGCTGCTTGTATCACAAAGAGAAAAAAAAAGACGTACTTTACAGAAATGACAGGGTTGATGCGCAGGAATGCCACACAGTAACATAACTGAGAGGATTTTCTTCATTATTATTCACCTGTTATCCTTATTTCTAAAGTTAAGGTTTAGACTACATGCCCTACAAACATATTCCAACCCTTTCGAATTTTTCACATGTTGTCACCTTCTGTCACACGATTTACGACCCTTCAGTTGTGTTTTAGGTAATCAGACCAGCACAAGGTGTGACATGCATTTGTTATCAGTACCTACATTCTCACATGTCTAGATTAAATCTAATGAAAGTGAAGTTCTGATAATAAAATCTAAAAAAAAAAAAAACTAAAGCAGCCAACTTGAGATTTTAATTTTAATGTTAGTGTTCTGTTTGAGAGTCTTTAGAAAACTCTGAGGAATCTTTTATCTCATGTCAGCTCACCTGAATAATATTCAAAGTGAGTAAAATACAAAAAAAAAAAGGTTATAATTTCTTTTTTGGTGGGTACCTGGATCAAAATGAAGTGGAGCCATGTTCTATAATGTAGCCTTATGAAATGTAAATAAATAAATACCATTGTATGGAAAGGTATTTCATAGTAACTGTGCTCTCATGCCTTTAAAAAAATTTCAGAAAGCTCCAGGATAACTGAAAAAAAAAGGATACACATAAATCTGTGCCAGTTTAGAACTAAGAATAGTTCTAAATGTATAGCATGTTGGTCTGTAATCTATAAAAAAAACACCATGCCAGTGTTGTTGTGTATCAAGAAATCTATTTTTGGCTTTATGAAAACAAGGGTGCAGGATACTAACACATGTTCTAAAGAAAACCTCAAATGCTTTGGGGGGAAAAAACCAAAGTGACATCTGTGCCGGCCTTTACAAGAACAGTATACCATCAACTTTGTGGTTCACAAACGCACACACACATATTTGGCATGCATTGCAGAAATGCAACCCAGGCACACACCTGTATGTGATTAACAGAGTGGGTCTGTTTATAATCTTATTCAGCCTCGTTAAGCTTTTATTAGACTCTCAACACAAATATCTTTTCATGTTTATGCTCAAAAATAAAGCTTTTCTGGTTTGCAATGCAGATATTATAATATTTTATTTCTAAAATCCTATAGTTTGATTCATAGTGACCTGAATAAGAAAGGATGCAAGAGTACCACACAGCTTGAGTGTTTTGCAATAGGGCGAGAAGCGTTCAGTGGGCTTGAGCACATCAACCTCATTATGACAAAAAGAGTTTCATGTCACAGAGTCAGTGTGACACTCCAACAGTACACCTGGAGAAAGGTGGCACACACATTCGCATGGAAGCGATCATATCACTGTGTTCCACGGAACATCAAAGATTGTTTGCTTTGTTGCCTCTTTGAAAGTAGGACAACAAGGCTGGGGCAAAGTAACGTCAAGGTTCTACGGCAGAGTGCAAGATAGAAATGAAGACTATAAATAGAGTGGAACTCCATTTTCCTAACCCCAAAAGTCTTCACCCTCCTCTCCACCCACTCTTTCCTGGGCTCTCTCCTCTTTCAGGCATCAACTCTGTAAGGCTTTGTAAATGGGTTACCCCATGAAGCCACCCACGCATCAGGTACAGTATCAAAACCTGGGGCATCCTGTTATGACTTCTGGTTTCCTGTTTCCTGTAAAAAATACAGCCCCCCCTCTCTCTCTCTGCTTTCGTTCTCTCACACAAACACACTTCACACTCCACAGCCTGTCAAAAAGCAAACAGAAGAGAGCTGGGATCAGCTTCAAGTAACCCACCGCAAACAGATTAAATTAGTTGGAGGGTTTCCATTTTCAATTCTGGCCTAAATTGTGCTGGGCTTTAATTGTGTCGTTATTTGTTTTGTCTTTTACTCCAAAGAAGACTTAATTTTGCATTTGTTGTAAGCCTAAGAATGAAATGTTGGCAGCCAACTACAGGATCAGTTTAAAAACAGCATCATGAAAACCAAGGACAGAAGTAGACAGGTCAGAGGTATCAATGTTTAGATCTTTAAACCAGTTTTGGATTTTGAAACAGTTATATAGATTAAAACTCTCACCATTATATGGAAACAGAAAGAGGGTTTCACAAATACAAATTTAGCAAGAATTGTCAACCCCCCATTTTAGCTGAAAGTTTCAGCTAAAATGGGGGGTTGACATCATGGGAGCAAAATGGGGGCAAAGGAAATCATTTGCATAAGCAAGAGTCTCATTATACCCCTATAGGTCAAAGATATGATGAGAAAGCACAATGCTCACATAATCTGTTGGAAGCTTCCATAAAGCTTGCCTTATGGAGTAAAAGAGTGGTGGAAATAAAATGCAAAAAACATATGAAAGAAGATCAGAGCAAAGTTGGACTCTTTAGGCCAAAAAGCAAAACATAACATGAAGCAGGAAACAAACACTGTTCTTCCCCCCGAAGACAACATTCCCTCTGTGAAGCATCATAGCAATAACATCATCCTGACGAAAACTTTTTTTCATTTAGCACAATGAAAAAGGGAGAATTGGTGAAGCTAAACATACATTTCTGGAAGAAATCAGGAGACAGTTTAGATCAAGAGTTTTGTGTTTTTTTTTTTTGTTTTTTTTTTTTTGTGGGGGGGGGTTAAGTGTTTCCTGCAAAAAAGCATGACTTTCATTAGAAGGTGATTAGCAGGCCTTTGTAGGCTGTAATGGCTGCTGAAGACCGGAACCAATTGTCACGATCTTGGTGCTGATGACTGCTTGATTGTTCATTTCATTCACCTGGCTAGCTTTGGCCAGTTTCTCATGATGTTCATCTGTGTCACCTGCTCCAGTCTCTATTTAACCTGCCTGCTTCCTGTCATCAATACTACATTTTTCGTGCCTTTTGTGACAGTCTTCTAGCAAGTCATAGCGTTTCTGATTGCTTGATCCTGACATGTTCTGCCTTTGGGCCTCCGAGCCTGCCTGTTCCCATCCTGATCTGTTTGCGTGACCCGTCTCCTGCTAGATTCTGCCTGTTGAAGACCCTGGAACTATTTCCTGACACCGGCCTGGATTTCCCTGTTCAGATATCTGATCTTCTGGCCCGTACTCCTGTGAACCTCTTCGACACCAGCTCTGGCTTTGATTGTCCTGCCTTCCTTCGTTTGCTTGGATCTGATCTCCTGCCAGTTCTTCAGTCTTCAATGCTTCAGCTTTGAACTCTCTGGGCAGCGTTCGCCGCTTCGGGTTGGCAGCCATTCGACTGGAATAAACCTCTTCCTCTGGGCACGGACTTAACTTTAAGACCAGGTTAGTGACTCACACGTTGGTAATCATCTTCCGCTAGATTAACATGGTTAATCCTGGTTAATCCTGCCTAGCTACCCACTGCCAATCCCTTGTTTTTAAATAAATGCTTTTTGAGAAATCTGTCTGTCTGCCTTACATACTGGGTCCTCTGTTATGAGCCTTGACAACTGTATGACTTGGGTGTGTTGCAGCAGAAAAAAATACCAGAAACATGTAGGACAGGGGGTTCTAAGGACCAGGAAAGAAGGTTCAGAACAATCAATTTTTATTTATTTATACGCATAGCATTGATTGGAAAAGCACACCCCACTTTTCAGATATTTTTTTTGTTGTTGTTGTTGAAAGGGATTAAAAAAATGTCTCAACTCCTCCCTAGTTAAAAATTATGAATAACTTAATGATGGCAGCATAAAATGTAAAAGTGTCATTAAGGTTTGGGTTTTTATTGTGTTAATATGGGGTGCATTCAAAGGATAAGAATATTTGCAATAAGAGGCTATTGTAAAGAAGTCATTAAGCACTACTCTGATAGAAGCAGCTGCTTCACCCCATCGCTCACATTCAATTTGTCCTTATTTTATGTACACATCTCTCACACAACAAAGTCGAAGATGTAAAGGTGCCAAGGGACCATTTCCCATACAAAAGCATCAGTGTTTACTTGTGTGTGAACTCAGAGCTGTTTCATAAGAAATCTAATAAAAAATAATAAAAAAAAAACATAGAAAACACAACGCTCCACCATCACACATATCATGCCACCAATATAAATCCCCCACTATGATACCTGAACAACAGGGGTCAGCTACATCACTGTTAATGAGCAGAAATCTTACCGGCTTCCTGCAGTGGCTCTATCCTGCCATGCTGAATGCTTGGTGATAATGTGCATGCTTAATTGTCTGGAGCAAAAACTCCCCTGAACGTGTTGAAATGTTCAGACTTTCAGCAGAGCACTTTCCCTAAATGGCTGATTTCTTCTTATTATCTCAGTGTTTATTTTTTAAAATAATAAAATGCAAACAATTACAACAAACTCATGTGGTCATGGTATTGTTTTGTAGTCCTTTATAGAAAAAGGGGGAAAACACAATGTTGTTCTGTTCATTTTTTTGCTCCCCTCCCCCTTTTCTTGCAGACAGGAATTCATTAGCAATCAAAGAGCCACTGACAAACGCCCAATCTTAATTACCCCTCATTTGCATATTTGCATACTAATGACTGCAGACTTAGCTGTTTTTCTGCAGCAGTTCTCTTCCTCCCATCAACACTGCTCACACATAGCCACAGCACATTAGTGTTACTTGTTTGTATTTCTCAGAGGCTGAAACTCTAATTTTTGTCCCCTGGATGAGCAACATTTATTTACTTTGCTGGACAAAACACCTGATCAAACATATTTTTTATAACAAATCCTGCAATAGGAGTCTGCTCATTTTACATGTTAAACCTGAAGACCTTAATGATGTGGCTCAGGTGCTGCCCTCTGCTGGTACAACAAGTGTACAAC